TATGATCTAGCAAGACCATTCATATGCTTTAAGGGTTCCCTATACAATGAAAATATGGTTTATGTGATTTTATTAAAAATCAGATAAATAAGTCACTAAGCAGCTAAGGATTTTTGATCTTTTCCAATGGCACCTATGGCCTGATCATAGCAACATACCTCACACCTCCCTATAAATAAAAGATACAGCAAGAGATGGTTTGGCCAATGATTTGCTTATAGCTAATGAGCAAAGCGTACAAATTGCAGTCTGTAATATGAAAGAACAATGAATCAAAGCAACCTTTCCATGACATGATTCACTGAAAAGGCATAAACCCCTTCTTTCATTGTACAAATCAAATATTTGGTGGCATAATTCCTAATCTTCATTTTGGAATATGCCTAAATTAGCTTGTGTGTGACGGTATTCCCAAACATGGCCAAACGTATACACTGCATAGTTATAAATGACCTTGAAAATTAGCTCCAAGAACATTTTTCAGGATGGCATATAGATTAGAATATGTCCTCTTACCTGACATGCATGATGCATAAACCAATTGATTTGGTTCCTGGCAAGTTTGGGCTGTTAACTCTTCCACTGATTCCATTCAGCTTTCTAATACATTTCTTATCCGTTTGTAAAATGGGAGCTTATGCTTTTAATAAGATAACCAGATTTATATGGCCCATCTAATAAAATTTTGCAAATATCAATATAAATATGCCTTTTTTCTCACAGTAGAAAGAATTAATAGCACTTCACACAATTCTACTGTTTGCCTGCAAGAAGAGAATGCTAGCTCCGGATGACAAGCCCCTCCTCATTCATGCCCTGGCTCTGGGGCGTGTGCCAAGTCTTCCTGTGGGACTGATGCTGTCAGCTCTGCTCACGGCCAGCATAATGTGGCCAGGATGCTTGCACATTGTCCATGCTGCAGAAAGTATCCAAATCAATCCCTCCACTGATTAAGGGCAAGGTTAACCATCTAACAGCTCGTGTTAGGCTCCCTCCATCTGCTCATTCAAAGGCCTATTTCAGAAGAAAAGTGTAGTGTATCCAAACTGATCTGTAGAATGTCTGGGGTCAAGTCCAGAACATCTTCCAGCTGCCACACCAGACCAGACTGTCAAGTTTCTGTTATTCCAGTAACTGTAATTGTCTCTGCTACATGGGAGAATGAAAAGTGATGCCTCAGCTCAAAGCAGTGTGAAAGGAAGCATGATATCATAAAAGCTGTTCAAAGCATTGCTCTAATTTCGTTAATGTTGTAGCATTGTCGCAAGGCTTGCATGAGAAATAATTATTTTGGGATTAGGATCTTCAAGGATGTGTTGGAGGGGCTTGCTGTTCGACGCGTTAAGTAACACATGCTGATTTGCCATTTTACATTTATTTGCAATCCTGGCATATAATCTTCTATAAGACAGCAAAGACCCATCCCAAACTGCAGAAAATGAAAATTCATTCCTATGAGGCAAAAAGGGTATTGTTTAGAAAGGCATTTTTGTTTCTCATCATTGCCTCTGAGTCCAAATGGATGAACTGAAGGAGGTTCCCTACACCCCACCAACGCTTCCTGAGAACTGCATACTGCTTACTGCCCTGCCCACTTCTGGCTTGTTCTCTCTACAGAGATCCAGTTGCAGCCAGCTGGATTTCAGCCTGAAGACAAACAGTGCGATTCTGTGCATGCTTACCTGGAAGAAGCTCCTCTAGAAACAGTGGGTAGGGAATGGGGCTGTAAGGCTGCAGCTCACCTTAGAACTTGTCTAAGTGACCGTGCTTGCGTCTGGAGTCTATGTGCCCAGAGGAGGCGCATTAGCTGTGCCAGTGTTGATACAACGTGTGTGTAGGCTCTGTGAAAGGTCAGGGACCTTCTCAAGGTTCTTGATCACACACAAAAATCCCACCTGTATATTGCTGTCTACATGCAGAGCTCCCTTCTTGCTTTCCATGTGACTATATGGGCACGCCTGTTCCCCATATTCAGTTAATATAATTTGAAAGTGTGAATAAGGCATATTATTACAGGTGCAGGAGCTTGTAGTTCTTGGACATGCATTACCTCAAAAGGAAAATAAAGGGCCATCAGCTGGACTGGGCAATATTTGTCTCTCAATGCAAGCCATGGCATGAAGGGCTGCAGGAATGGTCCTGCCTTCAGCACCTACAACACCGCTGCTGTTTTTGCACATCTGTGTGAAGATGGAATAGAAAAATAAGGCAACAGATTTTTTAATGCTTGAAGGAAAGTCCTTCTGCACATGAGCCTGGGGGACCTCTGGTCATTAGTGGCAATTTTCTATGCCCAGACGGTTTCTATGGGATGGGCGGACTGTGCAATTCTGAGGTGTAGGCCATGTGCTTATGCTCCCTCCTCAGGTGGATGCATGCGGATAACAGAAGTGGGATGCACTACATGAACAGTGAGGGCAGGCATGTGCCAACGCTCTTCCAAGCTGAAGGTGGCATCAGGGAACAAAAAACCCTGGCTGCACTGTTACTATAACTTGTACAAGACAAGAATTTGGGGAAGGGGAGGGAGAAGGGATGGGATGGGCTGCGTCGGTGGGAAGAACAGAAGGGCCAGGGCCTCACATCTCCTTTCTGAAAGCCAAAATGCAGGGCAAGCACCCCCATCCTTGCTCTTGCTTTCTGTGTGGTGGGAGAAGGAACAGTAGGGCTATGTTCACACATTACACAGACTGTGTTTTCTGATTCTCTACACATTCATTAATATAGCTAGGAGGATTCCGCCCTTTTCTGTCATGCTCGTCATGTGTATACTTAGCACATGAGGCAGGGAAGTGGGGATGTGCTTACTGCCTCCTCTCTCTCTCTTGCCTCTGTTATCACCCCCTGCTTCGTGCAAAGGACAACCTCCTCGAGCCATGGACGTTCTCCTAAGATTCCAGGATTCCAGAGTCCAGACTCTTGAAATGAAATGATGATTGCTGTTAGATAGCTATCTATACTTCCACTGATCTCACAGATAATCTTCCAAGAAAGCAGACCGAAATTCCTTGGGGAGAGAGTAGGGTTGCCAATGATGTGACTGTATATTTCCTTTTCAAAAACCAGGGAAATTCAATGATGAAAAGAAGATAACAACAAGAGTTACAGCACTCTCCTCTTGACTGAAGTCCCACAAAGCTGGGACAAAGTTCCCTGTTTGCATGATCAGTGATGTTATTGTGTTAAGATCGCAAATTACCCTCCATGTGCCCACTTTTCCTTGGTCATCAAAGGCGTGTCAGATTGCCCAGCCCCATATTGCTTTATGGAGAATCTAGAAGAGGGCTGGTGGAAGATGATTCCTTCTCACTGCTTAACCCATCCTGCTAGGTACAGATACAAGCAAGAAACTGTCTGAGATCAACTCATAGAAGATTCCTGTGGCAAAACAGTGAGGCTTAGATGCTTCATGAAGCAATAGAGGACCAGGACAACTTTGGCTGTATTTGCACAGAAAGGACCAGGGCAAGAGGACAGGTGGTCTGAAGTAGCCGTGTAATGCATGGTGATTCAAATGTGCTGGCAAACCAGCAGAATGCACGCATTTCAATGCAGCAGTGCACTGACAGACAGAAAAGTCACTGCATCATTAATGCTATATGTTGCAAAATTTGAGTAATATTTCCAACCCCGTCCCACCCCCAAATGAAATAAAGGAAAGGAACAAGTACACACGAGTTCTTCTGCCAACAGGGCTTTCAGAAATTATAGAAGGAATTGCAGAAACAGATGTTTTATGGGAGAATTAATGACATGTAGAAATAGGAATGATCATTGTCTCAGTCAATGGGATTGAGACAAAAGCGATATATAAAATTCTCTTCTTCTTTGTGCACATGTACTATTTATACATACGATTTGCAATCCGTCCAGAGAACATTAGTTATTTGGCAAAGTAGAATGATAATAAACGAACAAATATGATCCATTTCAACTGCGACTGATTTGTTGTCCTTCATCAGGACAGCAAGACTGAAACATTATTTTACAAACAGAGAGATGTTTGATATCTCTCATGTTCTATATTGTGCCAGGTCCTCTCTTAATTCTCTAGAATCTGGGTGTTGCCATTCACAGGTGTTCAAGAATTTGAAAAGAGGGAAGAGCCAACAATGATGCAATTTGTATAAAGTTGATAACCAAGACACTACATCCTTTGGTGCAAGGTACAGATATAATTATCAAATGTTAGACAAATGAGAAATGATTAAATAGACAATATTGTGAAAATGAAGTATTTAGACAACTATCAGAGGAAACATTTTACAAATCTAACTAAATCACCCCAAATTATATAAGTGGGTTTCATTGAAAAGACTGGCAATGGTTATAAAACCCCCCCAACACTTTTTTGTTTGTATAAAGATGGTCCATGCATTCCAGTGTTTCACAGCTTACTCATTATTTACAAAGGGGTACTCCAACCCTGTGGTAGATTTATTGTTTCAGGTAGTTCATCTGTTCTACTTGGTATACAGGATTTAAGAAATTTTGTTCCGAGAAGTGCTGAACCAAAAACGTCACCCTAATTTTATTTGTTCATTCCCTGATGGAGGTAGAGAAATGCAGTTCATGGCCCCCACAACTTCGAATATACCTAGAAACAGGATGAGAGCACCACGCCTGTTTGCATTGCTGCTGCTTTCTTGTTCATTCCACAGTGCTTTGAAAATGAGTGGGGCACTTTGTGATTCTTCTTACTCCAAACAAAGAGTGCATTTATACCATTCATAATTAATTTAACTTTTAGGAACAAGACCTGGAACTGCCTGTTTGGTTTCTGGTTATACTGAAACCTGGAGAACATGATAAGGTTATTATGCAGACATGAAAAAGACCCACAAGCATCTTCCTGAGAGCAATCATATAAAAATGAGCTCAGGATGCATTAGCTCTTCCAAATTTGTGGAACCAGAGAACATTCTCTTTGGAAGAAAATACTCTTCATGTGGTTATACCAATAATATTTTCACCACAGAATAAATATCTTGCAAACTCACCCTTGAATGACTGTCTCTCGAGATCAGAGTCCAGATGTATTGGAGGAACAAGGTAGGAAACTTGACCATGATGTGCCTGTCCTGTGGGCAAACAAATTATATGAATTTCTGATAATCAGATTCAGATTGGTAAGGATCTCAGTGCAGAATCCTTAAAACAATTAGATTTGGAGGGCAGGACTAGAAGCAATGGGTATAAATTGCAGGGAAGCTGGTTTCATTGACACATTGGGAGACACTTCTAATGGTAAGAGCTTTTGGAAGTGGAACATACTGCCTTAGAAGGTGGGGAACTTCATGAGGGGCATTTACACAGGTCAGGGATCTTGGGGTTCCAAGATCTTATACTGAGCAGTGGGTTGCCCTTGAGCACTTGAAAGGTCCCTTCCAACTCAGTGATGATATATTTACCTTTAAAAAAGGAGGGCTATGGATATCCTATGCAGAATCGAAGGAGAACAGAGGCAAAGGTCCCACCTGGCCAAACAGCTAGACGTGTGTGTCAGCCTTCCCCAACCTTTTGTCTAACTTTAGCCTACAGCAGCCTTCCCCAACCTAGTGCCCCTCAGAGGCATTTGGACTGCAACTCCCAGAACGCCCTTCCAGCAGAGCCATTGACTGGGAATTCTGGATGTCACAGTCCAAATGCCTCTGGGGGCACTAGGTTGGAGAAGGCTGGTCTAGAGAAGGGGTGGAAAACTTGTAGCTTTCCTATGATCCCTCATCATCAGATTTGCTGCTAGTGGTTTAGTTCAGATTTTATTGACTGCCCTCTGCACTGCAAATAGCACTTCAGAGGCATAATGCATTCATAACATCCTTGGTATAGTGGTTACTTTCAAAATGAGCAAAATGAACACCACTCTTGTGTGGCACCGTCATGCACAGCACTGGCATGACCAGGCGGGTTCCCCTCAAGGTGATGGGTCGGGGCCAGTGAATGGGGTCACTAGGAAGCTGAGCCACCTAGAAACCCTTCATGGGGCTGGTGCTGCAGCTCTGCCAAAGAGCTCATTTGCATTGGATGGCAGAGTGTCTGGAACAGAAGAAACCCTTTATCTCCCAGCAGAACTCGAATGTTATGAAAATATGAACAATCACAATCCTTTCACTTTTGGGAAGCACAGAAGGAATCTCCTCTTCACCCTGCTTCATTCTGTGAAAATGATGTTTCCCCCTCTTTCGTTTCTCAGCCTCAATTTCTTTGGGTGGTGGGATAGGTGTATCATCTCCTCCATAAAGTTTATTTATTTCCTTGCCAGGAAACTGTTAATTAGGATTTATACGAAATATTTTGAATACATGATGTGCTATATAAATGGTGATTAATACGTAAATATCTCAAAAAGATTTTTTTCTCTCCAATCTTTAATCTGTTCATATATTTCTTTCCAACCCTCTAAGGTTGGCCAATATCATTATTTCCAAATAGCTGATGGTGGGTTGGTGAGGCTGAGAGAATAGCAACTTGCCTGAGGTCAGCTACAGTGCTTGGGGCTGCAAGGAAGTTGAGTATGTCATCCACTGTCCCAAACTGACTTTTCCATCTGCTTAACCTGTCCAGAAACTGGGTCAGACAAGTGCCAATAGCTGAACAGCCAAAAATGCTCCCCAGAAACAACAGAGCAACTAGCTAGCCCCAAACTCCAGTTACTTCACTTTCCTTTCCCACAATTCAATCAGGTGTTTTTTCCTTCTGAACAAAGTCCAACCTGTTTTTGCTTCCAGCTATACAAGAACAGTTACAAAGTGGATACAAATATTACAAAACAAATACATCCCCCAGTACAGATAAAAATGCAAATCAACAAAAACTCACAGTAGGTTAATTGAAAAAATCTACAAGTTAGCCATGTTTAAAAACCTGAAATAAAAATATGTTATAATCTTAACAAAGCGGTTTCCATGTAAGCCCATGAAGTTCAAAACATCAGAAGATTGCTAGATTGGGGAAGGCCTCCTTAGGGAACCTGAAATGTATTTTATATAACCTGGTTTGCTCAAAGAATCACCTTTAAAATAAAAAGCATTTAAAAGTAAACTCAGTATATTTATAATTATTGTCTGCTATACTTTGACATTTAGCACACTAAACATGTTACTTGTGTAAGCAAACTGTATTTACATTTTAGGTTCCTAGTTGCTTTTTGACCAGGGGGTTCATCTACAAGAAGTCCCCGAAATGTCTGAAGCACCTTAGCAGAAGAAGCAGGAAGAGCTGGAGGCAGAGGAAGACTGGTTTACAGCATCTGTTCCCATTCATGAGAAATTTTACTTGAGCCTCTTAACCTGTTTGTGCTAAAGTTTAAGGGGATCTGGTCCAAGGGAATAGCTATTGAAGTTTTGTTGGGAAAGGTTGCCTTTCCTACTGGGAATATTCACTAAGTATATTTAATTTAAAAAGCTGCTGGTAATTTCTATCCACTGTTTGAAGAATGAGATTTTATTCCCATTGGTATATAACTTTCTTAATAAATATTTTATTTTTAGATGATTTTAAAAGGTTGTCTCTATGGGTGATGTCAACCCCATACCTACACCATAGGAACCAGGCTATGGAATTTCTTTTGGGAAGTGTAGATTCATTCTGGTGGCAGCAGTTAAAGGTTTCATAAGTGAGGTAGCATCTCTTAGTGGGATAATCTAATTAGGAACTTTATTAAAGCTGTGAGTGGGTTATATAGCCTGACAGAAAAGAAAATAAGAGAAGAGAAGCATAGACGAAGTAACTCACATGCCGTTCAACCACATCTAGTGACAGTAGTAGAATCTGCAAGACTTTTCCATTTTCCTGTGGCTGGGTCAAGCTTAGTTCTGGGACAAACTCTGGGGCAAGTCCAGCAAAGTCAGATCAGAAACACAGTATTACTGGGTAAAAGGAGGGACAGTCCAAAAAGCAGGGTCCAAATCGAACACAGGGATAGCAGAAGTTCAGGATACAGGAGTATGAGAGAACAGTCCAAAAGCAAGCAGGATCAGGAAAACCAACTTGCAAGGTACTGGGAGCTAAAACAAAGGTGTTGCTTTAGCAGGTCTCCCTGCCTAGTTCTCAGCTTTTTAAGCTGGAGCTTAGAGAACCCTACTCAGGACAAAGTTGCTGCAGGTACCCAACACAGAATGGTCATAGCTGAGTTGCTAGACTAAGATGCACCCACCCTCTTCAGGAGCAATGGTCACCTCAGCAGAAGAGAAAGGGTATCTTTAATGGAGATGGGATGGAGAAATTCCTGAAGAGCAGTCACTGGGCAGCAGCACCAATTGAAGGTGAGACTGGTGGAGGATTTTTTCACAGAGAACAGGAGCGAAGCTCAAGCTGTGGTTAGTAGTGCACTGGCAAACCACAGGGGTGAAAGGAAAGTCAGTGTTGCACAATACATTGCTGCACAATACATACAGAGAATGCGAGAAGTATGATGGCAAACTAAAACCATAAAGCAAGAAAATGAATGCTAGTGTGAGCAAACTAAAGTGGACTGGAATGGTACATTTTTCAGTCAGAAAAACACAAAGTGTTTTACTTTGAAAATGACAAACTCAGAAGAAATGGAGTGGCTTTAATACTGAGACAAAATGTAGCAGAGGCAGTAAGGCATTATAATGCAAAGTCAGATTGAATAATATCATTCGGAATTCTTGGAACCTATCAGCATAACCCTCATTCAAGTCTATGCTCCAATGACAGATGCTGAAGAAGAAATTAAAAACTTTTAGGCAAGTGTCCTAATGTTAAGAAACCGGTAACACACCAAATCAAGGCATGCTGATAATCACAGATGACAAAAACAACAACAAAAAAGATGTTGATTGCAAGAAGAAATATTATAATGGCCAGTACAAAGAAATAAAAGAGAATGACAAAAGAGAAACAAAACAAGAGATCTCTTCTAGAAGAGTCAAGAAATCAAAGGAAAATTTTGAACCTAGGTTAGGAATGAACCATACTATCTGACCAGGAGAAAACACAGGAAGAGCGGAAACAAGATAGGACTCACTCCTTGGAAGAGGACTCCTATGTGGAAGAAGCTGCAATATTAGAAAGAGAAGCTGCTTTGAAAGGACTTGGAAGGAATAAAGCACCTGCAGTAGATAGGTTACCCAGCAGGTTATTCCAAGCTGCAGAGATTGCATAGGCCCAAATTCTGACAAGATTATGCCAACAAACACAGAAGGCAAAACAATGGCCCACAGACGGAAAATGTTCAAAATTTATTCCATTTCCCAATAAAGGGGATGTTAAGGAGTACAGTATAGGACCATTGCAGTAATTTCCCATGCAAGCAAAGTGAGGATCAAGATGCTGCAACAAAGAATTTTACCCTTTATGGAATGGAAAATGCCTGAAATTTAGGCTGGGTTCTGAAAAGTAAGAGGCATATATTGCAAATATATGTTGAATTTCAGAAGATGATCATTCTCTGTGTTATAGATTATAGTGAAGTGTTTGTGTGAATGATGAGAAGCCACGAATGATCCTGAAAGAAATGGCTGTCACCTGTAAGCTACTGTGAGAACAGAATATGGAGAAACAGAATGGTGTCCTTTAGGGAACTGCTGCAGACAAGCGTGCATTCCCTCTTCCTATCTGTCCAATCTGTCTGTGGCATAAGGAAAGCTGGATTAGGATCAGAGGAAGAAGGTGTGAAAATTGGTGGAAGATGCATCAGTAATTTGTGATATGTAGATGATACCATATTACTGTCAAAAAGCAGCAATGGATTGAAATGTCTCTTGAGGACAGTGAAAGAAAAAAGCGCAAAAGCAGGACTGCAGCTAAACATTAAGAGAACAAAAACCATGACTACAGAAGAATTACAGAACTTTAGTGTTGTCAATGAAGAAATCGAAATTGTGAAAGATTTTACATATCTTGGCTTAGTCATCAGTTCAAAAGGAGGCTGCAGCCAAGAAATCAGAAGATGAATGAGTTTTGGAAGGGGAACAACAAAGGAACTAGAAAAGATAATCAAGTATAAGCAGGGCTTTTTTTTGTCATAGAACGCACCGTAACGGCGTTCCAGCACCATTTTTTCCAATGGATTTTACGAAGTGATTTTGAATCGCTTGTCCGGCATAGCAGATCA